GAAGAAATATTTGATTCCCCTTCTGAATGTTTATTCTAGAATATATTTTGCAAGGGGAAAGTTTGCCCCGGTACATACTTTCCGGGGGGAAAAAAATATGGGGGGAAAACTTGTTACGCGACACTGTTGCGAGTAGGAGTCACGTGAAGGGAGGGGGGGGGGAGAGGATGATATTATAACTTTTCCGACTAAAAAAAAAATGAAAAAAGGTTCTCGTTTTTTAATATTTGCTGACTGTCATAACGACGTTTGCCGACTGACTGTCTAAGTTTACCGATTAACTTGTCAAAAAGGGTCAAATTTGCCGTTTAAATGAATGAAAAAATCATTAATGGGGGGGGGGGGGGGATGTCACCCCCATCGCGCCGGCCTTTACCATTTATCCAAAATTTACCACCAGAATGGCTGCGCTTGATCGATAACATTCCATTTTATAAGTTATAAAGCCTTATTTTTGCATTCCTACACAAATTTCAAATGTTTTTAAGAGTTGGTCATACTTTCATAAACAAAAGAGTTTTTATGCTTCTACAACCTGTCTTTAAAAGTTTTTTCAGTAAGCCCAATGTAATAATACCCTTCTTGTTCTTGGTGAGTTTTTACATTGCAAATTTAAATAAAGCTTTTTTGAAGGCATTTTCCATTGAGGAAATATTATTTTTAGGAAATAATATTTGGATTAAAATATCAGCGGACTCTAATTTCGATATCACCATGGGTAGTTTTGACAAAGCCGAATTATGCGAACTATTTAGCCTCTATATCTTATACAGTATTGCCAAAGAATATGGTCTTAATACTACCGGTCTATATAGAGATAATGGTCGTTGCTGTATCTAAAATTTTAGTGGTCCAAAAAGTAAATGCCTAACAAAAAACTTTATTTAAATTTGTAAAATAAAAACTCACCAAGAACAAGAAGGGTATTATTACATTGGGCTTACTGAGAAAACTTATAAAGACAGGTAGTATAAACATAAAAACTCTTTTATTTATGAAAGTAAGGCCAACTCCACTGAACTTTTGAAATTTGTGTGGGAATACAAAAATAAAACTTTAGAACCTACACTAAAATGGAATATTCTCTATCAAGCGGAGCCATTCTGGTGGTAAATTTTGTGACTTATGCTTTACAGAAAAATACCACATTATTACATGACCATTAAATTTGCTTCATAAACAAACCGGGCTTTCGTCAAAGCGCCGCCATGAAAATAAATTTCTAATAAAGAACTTTAGTGCCATCAAAGCGGACACTCAATAGCATTTTTTGAATATAATTATTGTCGTTACTTTTTTGTTGTTGTTACATCTGATGATTGCTATTGCGTGAAACTTCTAGTTATGTAATTGAAATATATCTTAATAATTATTCAGTTTTCATTACATATTTTTTCACTACATATATATTAAAAAAGGAACCATATTAACTCTTAGTGATATACATGAAATGATCGAACTCTGCCTCAACCGATGTTATTTTTTATACAAAAATGAAATAAGATCTATATCAAATTCGGACTAATAGGATTGTCCTAAATGGTCGTAGTTGTTGAGGCATTTTTGCAGCATTTGGAAACAAAAGCTCTTATTATTGCTGAAGTTGGTCATTTTTCGCCAAAGGCTTACAGAAGGTATGTAAATGACAGTCGTGCAAGATTCGACTCAATACAAAATCATGATAAGTTCCTGGAGTTATTAAAAAAAATAAGATCCAGCAATAAAAGATACTTCAGAAAAAAAAAAAAGAAAAAAAAAAAAAAACCAAAAACGAATTAAACTACTTGGATATAACTGTAACTAACACTAATAACTCGTACTATAACTTTAAAATCCATCGAAAGTCGGCTATCACTAACTTACAAATAAAACCAACATCAAATGTTTATCCAAAAATAGTGATAAGTGTTTTAAAAGGTTTTGTATCTCGAACCATTAAAATTTGTTTCACAAAGTGTTTAAATAATGAAATACAGTTTTTAGTAAACATGTTTGCAGAAAATGTATATGATAGATTAAATGTTGAAACAACTGCTAAAAACTATATTCAGAAAAGAAACAACCTTTCTAAAATAAACTATAGTAAAACAGAAACAAGTAAATATAGAGTTAAACTTCCATGGCTCCCAAAATTAGGTCCAAAACTTAAAAAAGAACTTAAACATTACAACGTCAGAATAATTTTTTCTACACCACCTACGTTAAAAAACAACTTATGCAACAACAAGTCAAAGTTAATTCACAATAGCAATCCCGTTGTCAAACTCACATGCTCTTGTGGCTATATATATATATATATATATATATATATATATATATATATATATATATATATATATATATATATATATATGAAATATAAACCATAAAACAACAGCTGCGTACAAACTAAATTTTTTCTTTGTAATATTGCGACCTGTTTTTGCACAGGTCTTCATCAGATGTAAAATATAATACAAAAAATCGTTACAAATATTTATATTTAATATCTATATTTAACCATTTTATATTTAATATCTATAATTAATATCTATATTTAATATCTATATTTAACCAATTTATATTTAACAAAAAATCGTTACAAATATTTATATTTAATATCTATATTTAACCAATCCAAAAACGAATATGAACAAGCACTAAAAAATAGTGGATATAAAAACAACTCACTAAAATATCATATTAAACAAAATTCACCCCTAAGAAATCGTAAACGCAATATCCAATGGTTTAACCCCCCATTCAACAAAAACGTCTCCACTAACGTCGCAAAAATATTTTTGAAATTACTTGACGAAATTTTCCTAAAACACACACACTACATAAAGTCTTTAACAGAAACACTGTAAAAGTAAGCTACAGCTGTACTGAAAATATCGAAAAAATTATTAAAAACCATAACAAAAAAATTATTTTTCCAAAAAATGAAAATAATGACAAAAAATGCAATTGTCGAAAGGAAGCAGAATGCCCCATGAATGGAAAGTGTAAATCCACAAACGTTATATATAAATGTATCATCGCAGCTAAAAATCAGCCCAACAAAGTGTATATATATATTTCTTTTTTATTTAATTCACCTCCTCAAGGCCGAGAAGGCCACTACAGACGAGGAGGCTACTTATTTGTGGTTATAACCCTCTCTCAACTCTATAACTCCGAAACACGAACCTTGATGAACAAGGCCACTGCGCGGAGAAACGAGTTGAGCGCGGTACTACCAGGGACGTGGATTAACAGAAGACGAGTGGAAAAACAGATACATTAATCACAAATCATCATTCAAAAATGTTAAATACAAAAAGTCCACCGCCTTATCAAACTACGTCTTGGATTTGAAAAACAATTTTAACGAAACCCCAATATTTAAATGGTCTATTCTGAAATCTGTACCCCCCTACTCAAATATTTCCAAAAGGTGCCCACTATGTCTATACAAGAAATTCGCAATTATATCCTATCCTAAACCTGATGAACTCCTAAATAAACGAAACGAAATCATATCAAAGTGCCGCCACGAAAACAAGTTTTTATTGAAAAACTACAAAGCTCGCTACAAACCTTACTAACCACTAACATTAGCTACGCAACCCTATTTCGTACACCTCTAGGCTAACCAATAAATTATTCACATACACAGCTTTTGTAATATATTTCGTAATATAATTTATATTCTTATACCCACTTTTGAAAGTTATTTTTATATTCATTTATTTTTAATAAAATAATTTTTAAAAACAATTCACATTATTATTAAATCGTATTTTTATAACAGACATTAAAACATACAACAACTTCACATATATTAACTAAAAACAAATTAATAATAAGATTAACCTTAACTACTAAACAATTTCCGTCCCATAACGATCTAAAATACTAATATAAACCGTAAATTTTTTCTAAACACATTGTAGCAAAATTAACTTTTGACTACTTGCCTGATGATTAGCCGGATGACAATAAATTACAATACAACTTGCCTGATGATTGTGGTAACACATGAAACTTTAAGTCGCAATATAATATTAAATTATTTAATTAACTAATTAGTAAAAAAAAATTATAGCCCCCTTCCGTTATAACCTCCCTCCTGGTAAGTACATTGCCAATGTTTTCATTAGTTGATTTTAAAGTTGCCCCCCCCCCTCCCCCGCTGTTTCGCCACTGAGAGTAGTACTGACATTTACTTAAAACTAAAAACAGAGGTGTTTAATTTAATAAATTTTAGTTATAAAGAAGTATAAATAGAAATATAATTTTTTGTCTTTACTTTTATTATGATTTAATTGATTAAATAATAAAACAAAATTTAAGTTTATAGCATCCTCACCCCTCCCCTTTTAATATAGATTTCTTTTTTTTCCGGACCGTTAGTAAGAATGCTAAACTGTTTATAAAAATATGTATTCGTAAAAGTTGCTTAGGTTATTAACATTGTTTAAATATCCGTTGTATTTTTTCTAGATGCATTTCTACTTTAATTAAAGTTTGGAATTACTAAACTAAATCATTTTTATTTATAATAGCTTGATTATGTGTTGTTTGATCAAACAATAAACTATAAATGTAACTTAAAAGAGTGTTATAAAAGTAACAACACTGTAGTGTTATTACTTTTGTAGTCATCAATTTATTGTTTTGTTTTTCATAACATTTTCACTAACAAATTAAAGTTTATTCGCCTATTCCGTAAATTTCGTGGTTTTCATAAACTGAAACTTTGAAGACCAGATAATTTAACAGATATCGCAAATCGCGATGCGTTTATTCAACCCTTGTGCATATATATATATATATATATATATATATATATATATATATATATATATATATATATATATATATATATATATATATATATATATATATATATATATATATATATATATATATATATATATATATATATTGTACTCAATGAAGTAAACACTTTATTTATTTACATTTTGACAATTTGCTTTACTTTGTAAAAACTCTTAAAACTTTATGATACTTACAGATAGATTTTGTTTGAGACGATTTATCTTTAACCTAGCAGAATTCCGTACTTCTTTACTGAAAATAATTTGAAATATGCAGACATAAATACCCTATAAAAAAACAATATTAATGAACATTAATCAATTTTTTAATATATATAATATAGATATATTATATTATATATATTAAAAAATAATAGTGAAATTTACAATTGTGTGTTGTAAATATATATATTTTTTATTAATATTATTATGTAAAAAAACAACTCAAAATGAGTTTTTTAAGTGTATAATAAAAAAATAATAACAATTCCATAACTGACAGTGTAACATAATTTGTTAACAACTAATTTTTGTATTATGTCACTAACAGAGAACTGAGTTCTAAACAAAAAGTTGATAATGTTGCATAAAGTTGTAAGAACACTCTTTCAAAGTTACCATAAATCTAATCTATGCAAAGGATCGGATTTACACCCCCAGGACCCTAAGCTGAATCAATTTTCTCAAATATATTTTGAATGGAAAACAGTTTTATAGTTTATGTAGCAATTAACTGTTTGTTGTTAGCTTCAGTATTAGCAATTATTTAGTTTAGCACTACACCTTTTAAACAGATTTGTTCTAGAATTCCTCTATGCAGAATTAATCTCCAAGAGATTTAGTGTTGCAATAGTTAGTGATTGCGAAAAAGAACTTTACAAAATCTTAATAATTCTCCAGAGAGATTTTTGTTGTTTAACAACCATTACAATCACAAAACAGTATTTTTTTTAATAACTTCCTAAAACCGCTAGCAAACATTTTTTGATTCTATTTAGGGGTCCCCGAAATTGTGGATTTCTTAATAAAATCAATGCAAATTTCATTTTTATCAAAATAGTTTATTGATATTTTTTCAGGCTGTGAGCTGCTTATGTATTTTTTTAGTTGCTAGGGCTCTGATGGGTTGAACAACTGTACTCGAAAACTTGAATGTTTCTTTGTAATTTTCTCATTTGACAAGATATTGTTAAAGAAAGAACCATAATTTAAAATGTTCATTGTTGAGCGGAGCGTCCTAAAACTATGTTTGATCTAAACTTTTATTCATTTTTAAATATTTTAATATAGTAACTAAAAAAAAAAAATTAAAAAAAAAAAGAATGGAAATCAAGAATGGAAAAAAGAATGAAAGTTATTCAACAAGTAACACTTCATGAAGATGAAATGAACAAAAAGAAACACTTTATAAGATATTAGACATACAATAATAAACTAAAACAGACAATACAATAATAAAATAAAATATAGATGTAATAGTAAAAAAAATAAAAGTTTATTATTTTTACTATTACATCTTAATAAAGAAATTTTTTTTTTAATATTAAAATTATTTAATTTTTATATATTAAAGTTATTTTATGTTTTTGAGAAAATAATAAGTAAATACACAATAATACTATTTTCTAAGAAATACTTTTATTAAGAAAAAATTAAATATTTATTTTTTACATTTACTCATATTTTTTGACATATACTCAAGTGTTCTTGTAATTTAACTTTATTCATATCTTATTTTGGTTGGTTCTTCTGAAAATATCCTTTCTCTTTGAGACAAGTTTTATAGACACATGATCTTGAATTTAATAGTAGAATTAAGTAACTCATACCAAATTTTCATTGATTTATATATTTTTCAAGTTTTAAATTTAACTAATAAAAGTAACAAACCTGAGGAACAATAAGAATAACTTGAAGGTATTGAAATGGTATGCAGTCATTTGGTCCAGTACTTACAAAAAAATAACCACCACCAAGTAAAAATACAAGAATAAAAAAGCTTCGAGCAGCTTTCCTAAATTTAAGGAATAAAAGTTCAATCATGATACTAAGAATTTATCAAAAGATATCAGGGTTATAAATTCATTTTTTAAAACATTTGATTTCTATAGCTAAATTTGTCTGATTAACTTATTAACATCACGTAAAGATAAATATATACACACATAAGCAAACCTTTAATCGTTAATTACTTAAAAACAATTTAACAGATTTTTCTAATATTTTTGCACAAAGAAGCTAAAATAAAAAAAAGATACAATGTTATAGCTAATATGTTGTTGTTTGAATAAGAAATAAGTTTTTGTTTGATTGTATTGGTGTTAATTATTGGTTACCATTGTTATCAGGGTAATATGAGCAAACAAAGTAAACAAATATTAAATTGAGAAAAAGTGTAAGACCTTTAGTTTTATTCTACGTCAACAAAATTATAGTTGAAAAGAAAATCAGGAATTGGAAAAAAGAAAGGATTTACAGATAAATATAAAGCAAAGTTAATCATTTACACTATAAAGGTAAATCTATGTCAGAGAGATCTATATTTATAGAAAATGTACTTAAATCTTAAGAATTTATTAAATAAAGGAAAATATTTATAGGAAATGTGAAGAATATAAAGCATATGTAAAAAATAATCTGAACTCTAAAATGATCAATTGATGAAAAAATTAAAGTAACTTGTTGTTCAAAATAAACAAAATCAAGTATATTTAAAGTAAGAAATTTGCTTCCATATTTTTGCATAGCATATAAAAGTGCATTAGGCATATAATAGTGCACTCATAAGACTTTGAGCTTGAAGTTGTATATAGAAGAATGGTTAAACACCATTTCCATTCAATAAAAAGCATGCTGAGCTCACAATATTTTAGCCTGACTAAAACTCACTACTCCAAGAAGTTTTAAGAATATTGTGAACAAAACGGTATTGAATTAGTACCTAAGGAATCAAATCCTCCCTATTGTTCTGACCAGCAAGTTATTAAAAGTTATTGGTAAATTATGAAAAAATTACATTAAAAGCAAAAAAATAGCTTTACATATGAAGATTTAAAAAAAAGTAAAAATCAGTTTAAAAAAGGTAACTCAGAGCAAGATCTATGAGATGATCTCAAATGAAATCTTTTTTCTCTCAGCTTATAAATATGCCTTCTACATTCAGACAGAAATAGACGCTTTTATTCCTACTCTTTTACTTTCTTGTGCAGCTACTATATCTATTTGTAGTCATTTTATTTAATCCTTTTCAAAAGAACAACTCTTTTGAAAACAAACAGCTATTTTTTATTGCAAGAAATCGATGTAAAAAGTGCTGTCTGATGCTAAGCTCCATTATTCTCAGCTTTCGAAATCTCGTATCTTATCTGAGAAGTTAGGCACTAAAGGCTTTTGGGAAGTCTTCAACATTGTCATTAACAAGGATAGGTCTAACATTCCATCTCTCATTTATGGGACTGATCTTATTACCTTTCCCAAAGATAAGGCAGAACTGATTGCAAACAACTTTTTTTCTAATTTGACTTTTAAATCTTATGGTTGTTCTCTTCTTTTCATTCCATTTAAACAGGTTAACCCTATGTTAGACATTCAAATTTCACCAGATTCCGCTGCTAAAGTCATATCTTGATAAAACTCTTCTACAGCTTGTGGTCTAGACAAAATTTCAATCATAGTCTTAAAAAATTATTCCCAGAACTCTCTTCAATTCTCTTTAAACTGTTTAATAAGTGCTTGACTGAGTCTTATTTTCCTGCCTTCTGGAAGATGACATCTGTTATTCCAATTTTCAGAAACAATGGTGAACATTCAGAGCTAATCTTCCAATCCAGATTCCAGAACATTCAGACATTATCTTCCAATCAATATTCTTTCTGTTATTAGCAAGGCCTTTTTTTTATTTATTTAGTTTTTGATAAACAAATTTCTCACATTCCATTTTGAGTCAAATAACTGTCACAGAATCAATACCATTTTCGATCCTCTCGCTTTACAACTGACTTGCTAACTGCTGTGACTGAAAGATTTTATCGTGCATTAGATAAAAGCGGAGATGCTAGGGCTATTGGTCTTGACATATTTTAGGCTTTTGACAAAGTTTAGCATGCTGGTCTTCTACATAAGATTATTTCATATGGTGCATCTGGGAAAAGCAAATTGTTTCTTTCTAAGCACTTTATTAAAGTCATCCTTGAAGACCAACACTCTTCTTTATTTCCAATAACTTCTGGGGTACCTTAAGGTACCCAGAAGTTATTGGAAATAAGTCCTTGAAATTATTGGAAAATAAGTCCTTGGTCCTGTTTTGTTTCTCGTCTACATTAATGATCTTCTCCTTGCATTTAAAGTCGCTCTTTTTTCGATGACTCAACTTTATACTCCTGTCTTGACAAAAAATCCTCTTTTTTTGATCGCTTAGAACAGACACCAGATCTTGAATCTGATCTCACTCCAGTAACAGATTGGGGCTCATAGTGGCTGGTAAATTTTAACTACAACAAAAATCACTTATTAACTGCAAACAACTATTGCAGTACTGTCGACATTCCTATATTAATAAATTGAAACTCACTGAGTCCTCTTTATTAGGTCTTTGTGGATTATCATCATATATACATTCAATTGCTAAATTAGCATCTGCTTAAATTGCTTCTCTATATTGTGCTTGCCATTTTCTCTTTCCTGAATCCAATCTTCACTTTTACAAATTACTTTTTCATCCTTAAATGGAGTACTGTTGTCATATTTGAGCTGGTTCCTTTAATGGTCTTCCTCTTCTAGAGGAGGTCCAAATTCGCATTGTAAATGTAGTTGGACCTGCTCTAATATTATAAAGTTGCATCTCTTTTTCTTCTCTGCAAATACTCAATAATCATAGTCGATGCTCAAAGAAGCTATCATCTCTAATTCTATCAGCTTAAAACCAAAAAGACAAATAAAAGTTTTTAGAGTATGCAGGGACAGATACAGTAAAAAAAATGAGACTTTGCTGAATGACAAGTCAAACAAGACTCGTCTCTCAGCAAAGTCTCATTTTTTTTACTGTATCTGTCCTTGCATACTCTAAAAACTTTTATTCATTTACACCTTTTTGCATTTAAGTTGGCCAATTTTTTACTTTTTAGCATTTTTTAATTAATTTGGCAATTTTCACTTTATATTGAAAAAAGTGCAGTCTTGGGAAGAGGGAGAATGATAAAGTACAAAGAGAAAGGTGATAGAGTGAAGGGGTGCTAAGTGGAAGAACATAAAAGAATATTCAAAAGACTCAAACTTGATTTCACGACAAATAGGTGAATAGATGAGTATTTATACCCCAACATAAGTATTTATACCCCAACATATAAGTCAACATGTGACTATTGGAGTCTTTGCGAATCAAAGGACAGTACCTATCATCACTAAGATTAGAAAAAGGAAAGGAAGAATTTAAACTAGTCTCACTAAGAGGAAGCAAGTCTGGAAAATAGGTATTGAGGTGAGGTAAAATTCAACTGATGTAAGGTTGCTTCACAGACCACAAATATTAGAAAAAATATATTAAAATAGTTAGAATGTGGGAATGATTTTTTATGTTTAATATTTTGGGTTACTTTTTGCATGATTTAAGTTTAAAGAGAACTTGACTCATTCATAGATAGAGCACAACCTCCTAGGCAATGAGCTATGCAACTTTCTTAGTTCTGTTAATTAACTCTAAGTTGTAACATAGGGTTACTTATGTAGCCTCAACAATGCACGCAAAAAGCATTAAAAGGGACACCATTCATGTGCAACATGAGCCTGTTAATACTCTGATATTTTGCATCTGTTAATAGAATTAGCATCTTTAAGAGCTACCAAAGAGTTTAGGAAACCTTACTATCAGCCATCCTCAGAACCATTAAACTGAGTTTTAGAGCTGTACCCTCATTAGGAGATAACAGGAAGAGTTGCATAGCCACTATCATAGAGGCACAAGCAAAAACCTTTGAGAAGAGTCAAGAAGATCCAGCATTCATCATCCTAGGCAGGAAACAATGTAATACAGGTTTACATCTATGCCAGCCCAATAGATAAAGAAGGTTTCGAGGCTGGTTATTTTCTAGAAATATTCTAATTACCCCCAAAGTCTTTGCCTAGGAGGTCTCCTACAAGACATTAACTGGATGCAGTTAAAATCTGCCCAAGATAAGTATTTTTATCAAGACACCATCATTCCAGGCAGGGGATTTTTATGTCGGGTTTAGACAAAAACACAACATACAAATAAAGTAGATTACAGGTGAGCTGAATCAGTAACAAAGGCACTTACATCTATATAAAAGACACACACACAAAAAAAATAAAAATAAATATATATGTATATATTACTATAGGCATGACCGATTTTAAACAGTTCTGATTACAGGAAGCAAACTCCTTCTAACCTTTGCTTAGAAAGCAAATCCCACAAGGCAGCAGGACATGGAACAGGTTACACTGTTTAATACTGGGTTACATTTTACCAGCAGCCGGGTGATCATTAAGACAATAAACATGACCTGACACTACATTTAGAACTACTTAAAAGAAATCTGAAAAAGATTCACATTTTTCAAAAGTTGCGCTAAATAAAAATTTTAAATACTTATTTACATTTATATAATTTAATTTAATATAAAAAGGACAACAATTTTTTATAAATCCATTTTATGTTTATTTTTACAAACCTTGACTTCTCAAGTTCACAACCAGTACCACTTTTAAGCTTGCTTCTGATAATCCACATTAGATACAACAATATAAGTACATTAATCTAAAAAACAAAAAGATCAAAATAAAAACAAATTGGATATTTAAGATTATATTTAAAAGATACTAATTATTGTGTAACAATAACTAACTTTGATAAAGTTGCACACTGCATAATTACTGTTTTAACAGTAATTATTCAAAACAGTAGAAAACAAGGATAGCAAGCTATCAATTTATAAAATACTTTATTATGGCACAGTTCCTACATTGATTATTGCACAATAACATTTTTTAACCCTTTAACCCTACCACAATTCATTTGAATAAATTGTTATGAAAGACTTTCTTTGTACTTGTGTTTCATAGAGCACAATTAGTTTATTCATAGTGTATTAGTATAAAAATAACTTAAACTAAAAACGAATTTTAGTTTCCGTTATTTTTTAAAATTCTTTGCAGTAACATAAACAAAAAGAAAAAATGATTGTAAACAAAAAGAAAAAAGTAATTAAATGGTATTGTGAAAAAGTAGATGTAAATTTTTTTATTTAAATGCATTTATAATAAAAAATACATACTTATAAAAATAAAAACAAACAAAAATGATATTCAATAATACTTTAAATAAAAAAAATCATAAGCAGTTAGGGGTCGTCCATAAAGTATGTCACGCTATTTTTTTCAATTTTCAACCCCCTCCCCCCCTCCTGTCACAAACTGTCACATATTTCTGCACCCCCCCCTAAAAAAGTATGTCACATGTTTCTCCCCCCCCTCCCTCTAAAAAAAAAAACAAACCATTACGGAATTTTCAACATTCTAAAAACATAGTAATAGCTATTTAACAGAATAAAAAAGACTCAATTTAACTAATTTGAAATACCTTCTTAATTTATTGGGAAAGATTGTCATCATAAAATAAAATAAAAATAGTTTTTTTATTTGAACCTTATGTTTTTCAAATTACAAATTAAACTTACTCCTTATAAATACTCCTTTAATTGAATGAGTAAATAAGTAGAAAATAATCATGACAAATAATTTTTGTGATGTCACATTCGTCAAACTCCCCCCTCCCCCCTTGTCACAAATTGTCACAAACTTATGCCTCCCCCCCCCCCCCCTAGTAGCGTGACGTACTTTATGGATGACCCCTTAGTTACTTTATTTTTTGATTGTATTAATTTTAATGATTCTTATATAAAGTTAATTAAAGAGACAACCATTGTTTAAAGTCGCTGCTGAAAAAAATTAAATTATTATAATTACATTTATTATAAAAAAAAAACTTATGTAATTAAAAAAATTTATACATCATTGGTACTTTAATTAAAATCATTATTTACTTTATTTATAATTACTTTGCTAATATAAAAACGCTCTTAAAAATAAACATGTCAAAGTTATTTATTTTTAACGTAGGTAACCTAATTAAAAACCATAAGTTTTAGTGCATTTTTAAAATGGTAAAAACCGTGGTCGAATCATCAAAACAAAATATTATTTGCGTAGTCATAAAATGGCTTGTTTTTGCATGCCTTCCTAGCCAAATCCCCTTTTGATTTTATGGATTTTATTTATGATTTTGTTTGTTGTTAGGACCTCAAAACACTATTTCGATATGAAAACATAGTAAAAATTGATTAGCAATTAGTATAATACAATACAATTAAAGTTAGCAATTGTATAACACAATACAATAAAAACCATTTGTTTGATAAAATAAGTTGCAAATTAATTTTTCCAGCAATTTTACACTATTTTTCTTGCAAAATTTTCATCGTCATTCATCATAAATAATCAGACTTTTTGTTGAAATTGCTGTCTTGTCTTTACTATAGTCTTTCTTAAAATTTGTTTGCATTTTCTTTTGTTTGGTTAAGCTTTAGTTTAATTTTTTATATCTGTCTTCTTAATAAAAATTGTCACTAAACCAAACATAAAAAAAAATTCCACAAATCTACTCATAAATTCCAGCGAACAGTGCATGTTGATTTGAAAGCTAAACAAAATCAAGTAAAGCATATATTGGTATAGAGTTCCACCTAGCATTACATATATTAGGTTATGTTTTAAATGTCATAAAGTGAAATACAACATGCTCATGATAATACCAGTATGCATTTCATAATGCCTATAAAAAATTGTATATCATCGCGCCATCGATGTTGTTAAATTTTATTTTTACACCATATTTTGAAAGCCAATTTTAGCAATTCACTAATTTTTTTAACCAAATAAATAAGATATATTGGGTGATGTTTTATCAACTGTATACTTTAGGACTAAATCCAATACATAATGTTAACATCCTCTAAATTTAGGTTTAGAAATGCCTTTTTCTATAAACTTCTGTCATTGTCATTACAACAACTCCATTTCTTATGCCAGCGTTGACACTTGTGGCATCACAGATTTTAACTTTATTGCTTTTCCATTGTTGATATGATATATAGCAAACTTCATAGAGCTAATATTTTAACATAACAACTTGCATTACTTGTTTGCTTATTTTTTTAAAGTCAAAATGAAGAGCCCAAATTTCATTTTTTAAAGTTTATTTTAACTCATGATGCATCTTCAGTGATTCTTTAATAGATGCTTTATATATTGCAGATTGAGTTGGTCTCGGGCTGCTTACACTTTGGTCAGACAGTTGTATGCAAACTTTTGCATTTTCAGAGGAATATTAAATATTCTGTTTCACAAAGTGAACAGCAGTTTCTTTAGTTGAATATTGCTTGGTCTATCATTTTTTAGCAGGAGGTTTCATTGTACAACCACAGTCAGTAGTATCACTGTCTGAGGTTTTTTAGATATACTGATGAACTGGAAAAAAATTCCCATTCTTCATCTTTGTTTTATGAAGGAAAACTACATGCTAGAAATATTTCCTTTCCTAACAATTGATGGATATACTTTTATTTGTATTGTAGTTGGACAGTTTACTTCTCCAAGTGATTTAATCTGCATTACATAAAATTGTTTATCTTCAGTTGCAACTAGTGCTTCCAATACTGGTAGTACCAACAACAGAATACCGGTATTACCAGACTTTTTCATTTACCAAAATACCGGTATTGGTTTAGCTCAATACTGGTATCAAAAATATATGTAGAGGGCTTGTGATATAGCGGATGCAATTGCTTTCTTTACATGAAACACAAAAGTAGATAAAATATTTAAAACTTTTGCTGTAAAAGTCACTATAAACAACTATAATAGAATGCTAACTATTTTAACAAAGTGCAGGTTGAAACGAAAACATAATGTGAATGTAATATAGCGCCCATGCAAAAGCAATGTTAATAGAAAATTATTAAAAAAAAATTAAAACTTTTTTGAATTTATAATAAAATATTTTTTTTTATTTAAATTTGAATATATAAAAAAAAATTTTGAATTTTGATTATAAAACGTTATTCATAGTGTAATTTGCCAATGGTATGCCATGTAAAGTTATAGGATTAACAGCAATTATAATTATGATTACGAAAAAAACTTTATACATTTTGAGTTAAGAATCTTGAATCACCCTAATATCTAAAAAAACATAAAATGTCCTAAAGAGTATTTAAAGAATTCAGCACTGGTAGACGAATTGATGAAAGTTTTATTTTCTGCATGATAAAGAAAATCAAATGGTGGTACCTAAGAACTAACCATGAAATTGACTTGCTGAAGAGGAAATTGTCCCAAGACGCCAACTTCTAAAAAAAAAACTTGAATGTAATATGCAATTACAACAATAGCAGTGAAAGTGACAAGGATAGAAATACTGACAATGACACAAACAAAACCAATTATAATGAAAATTTTTCTGACAAGGTTCAAGTTGTAATATGTGAAAAGAATGACTCTATATAACTGGCTGGTGATTTGTAGTCATTAATCAATAAGGTGCGCACCGTTGTGAAATTGTTTTGCAGTTCTCCAATTAAATATGATCAAATACTTCAAAAATATGCATTAGACAAATTTGGTAAAAGCATTCCACTAATACTTGACTCCAAAACTTGCTGGAGTAGCTTGCACACAATGCGTGAATATTTCGTAAATTTGAAAAATTTAATTTGCAAGTCACTGAACGACCTTGAGTCCAAAGTTGAGGTAACTGGATAAAGAGTTCGATGCAATTTTATCTGTTGCTTTATGTGTTGCACCAATAAAATTAGCTCTAATATGCTCTAAAACATTGTGCTCTAAAAAATATGCTTTAAAACATTGTGCTGAAATGATGCAACACTGTTGTCAGCTGATACAACACAAATGTTCATGAACGTTAACCTTGGAGAAACCAAAAATTTTCCCCAAGGTTAACAATCTTTCTTTGTTTTTACGTTTTTTATTTTTTAAATAAAAAATGTAACAACAAGGAAAAATTGAAAGCTTTGAATAATTTATCACAAATTATGTAATGAGAATCTATATGTAATAAGATGGCAGTTTTCGAAGAAAGAGGAAATCGTGGCATTTATTTGCAAATATTTATAATAATCCTATGAATATTTGAAAACTGTGAAGCCAACAAGTATCGAATCAGAGTCTTTATTTTCAGCAAGTAACAATATTGTCATAAAATTACAATCATCTCTTGAGAATGACACTCTAAAGGCATATATAACAAAGTAAATAAATATTTAGTTCATATAACCATCACAGTTATTGTAAAGGAAAACTCAAAAACTAATAAGTTGCAGAATCAAGTTTTATAATAATAAATAATCAACTTTTCAATGATACTTTAAAAAAATGACTTATGAAATAAAATAAGTCAGATATTTACAATTTAAATCACAAACTAAAAGCCATGACATATGAAAAGCCATAATTTAAAGGCAAAATCAATCTATTCAGTTTTTAACTGGCAATTTCCTTGTTTCCAAAGAAATAATAGCTTTTATTAATATTATCAACAATAATATTACTAAAAATTATTATTCTTTATTTGAACTTTAAAATATATTAAATTATATATAAATATAAACTATTTATTATATATTAAATTAATATATAAAATATATTAAATTATATTAAACTGAATCCTCTTTATTGGCTTTTAGAATCAATTGCATAAAATGCACTTTTCAATTTTATATTATATAAACATACATACATACATACATAAATATATATACATATAAATATATAAAAAAATATATTAATATATATATATATATATATATATATATATATATATATATATATATATATATATATATACATATATATATATATATATATATATATATATATATATATATATATATATATATATATATATATATATATATATATATATATATATATATATATATATATATATATATATATATATATATATATATATATATATATATGTATATATATATATATATATATTGGAAAAACCATGTAATTCTAAAAAAGTAAGTTTAATTACATACGCCAACTAATAAGTACATTGGTATGAAAATTGCATAATAAATCCGAGTATTATTTCCATTATTCCAACATCTAAAAAATTACCAGATTAAAAAATAAACACAATAGATAATAAAGTCTTTATTATAAAATTTTAATTAACTAATAACTTACACTGTAAAATGTTTATCAGTTGAGTAATGGAGCATTAATGGTAAAAAGATTGCAAAACAAAATATGGCAGGTACCACTAAACATAAATACACTAATAAGTGCTTTATATATATATAAATATATGTATAAATATATATATATATATATATATATATATATATATATATATATATATATATATATATATACATATATATATATATATATATATATATATATATATATATATATATATATATATATATATATATATATCAACACACTAATTTTTATACAAATTATTTTTAATGTATTATACAAAATAGAGTTCATAATGTTTTTAAATGAACAGAAAAATAATTAATTAATAGAAAATCACTTTTTAAACTTTTTAATTTTACATGGTGTTTCATCAATAGAAACATCAAAAAAAAGATTTCTGATGAGCCTATATTGATAAAACACAGTGTAAAATAAAATAAATTGATAAGTGATTTTCAATATACATATACACATATATTAATATGAATCTATATATATATCAACTCTCAGAATTAGGAAAAATGAGGCTGACAATAATTTGTCCACCTCAATCTTTTAGAGGTTTGCATCAGGTTGGCAAAAAAATTTGATAGAAATGGTCTAACCATAAAACATAGAAACGAGGTCTGCAAAAAATTGCCAATCTTATAAACTTTCAGGTCGACAATAACGTCGACCTGAAAGTGTTTGAGATCGGCAATATGTTTATAAATATGTGAGTTTTTACCCCTTTTTTGGAACATGATTATTTGTGTCTCTAAATGGCGAGTAGTTTTGCCAATATAACAGGATTTACAGCCTGCGCATTCAAATTTATAGACAACGAATGCAAAGGCTGTAAATCCTGTTATATTAGCGAAACTACTAACTACTGGCAAAACATGTATTTATAAAATAAATGATTTTAACAAAAATTACAAAAGTTGTCTTATTATAATATTTACACATTTTGTGCTGAAGAGAAACGTTGTATTTATATATTTATGTATATATATATATATATATATATATATATATATATATATATATATATATATATATATATATATATATATATATATATTGTTGTTTTGATTATTTGATAGTAATCATCTCTTTTTTGATTTGAGAGTGATCAATATAAGGTGAAATAATCACAAAATAGATCAATAAATAAATAGAAGGTTAGATAAGAAAAAAACAACATTTTTATGGTACTTAAAGTTTTATGCTGTTTTCTGCACTTATCAGCAATATATTAAAATTACGAAAAAACTGTTTAAAACCTTTTTAAAATTTTAAATGGTTTTTTCTTGATTTAAATATATGGCTGATGAGTGCAGAAAACGGCATACTTTAAGTACCGTAAAAAAGTTGTTTTTTCTCATCTAACCTTTTATTTTTTTTATTTTTTTTTTTTTATTTGCATTCACTCCCAACAAGGCTGCAAGCAACCACTATTAAGTTGGGAGTTACTAGGAAAAAAAAAGAACAGAGTTATAGAGCAAGGAAACTGTTGACAGAAGACTTGAAAAGTTGAAGGTTGTATGAGTCAGGAAAACATGAAGATGGGAGAGAGTTCCAAAGGATTGAAGTGCGGGCAAAAAAACTAGATGAATAAAAGTTTTTAGAGCATGCAGGGACAGATACAGTAAACGAATGAGACTTAGCTGAATGACGAGTAAAACGAAAATGAATTTTAGTTGATGGAACTAGAGATGATAACTCCTTTGAGCAGTGACCATGATAGTATCTGTAGAAAAGAGAAAGAGATGCAACTTTACGACGATGGGAAAGAGGTTCAAGCTTAGCAGATAGTCCAGGTCCAACAACATTTACAATGCGTTTTTGGACCTTGTCAAGAAGAGAAAGTGAATCGTTAGAAGAACCAGCCCAAATATGACAACAGTATTCCATACAGGGAAGAATAAGAGATTTGTAGAGGTAGAGAATGGAATCAGAAGTAAGGAAATGGCGAGCAGGATAAAGAGAAGCAACCTTAGCAGAAGCTAATTTAGCAATCGATTCCATATATGGTTTCCATGAAAGGTCAGTAGTAAGCGATAATCCAAGAAGACGTAAAGAGGAGGACTCAGTAAGAGGATTGCCATTCATTAATATAGGAATAATGACCATATTACGGTAGTTGTTTGCAATAAGCAATTGGGTTTTTTTAGAGTTGAAATTCACAAGCCAATGTGAACCCCAATCTATTACTGAAGTGAGACCAGATTCAAGATCAGCTGCTTGTTCTAAGCGATCGAAAAGAGAAGACTTTTTGTCAAGACAGGAGTATAAAGTTGAGTCATCAGCAAAAAGAGCTACTTTAGATGAAAGGTTGTCAGGAAGATCGTTTATGTAGATAAGAAACAAAACAGGGCCCAGGATGGTTTAATGAGAACTTGACTCATTCATAGATAGAGCACAGCCTCCTAATCAATGAGCTATGCAGTTGACTCAGTCCTGTTAATTAACTCTAAGCCGTGACATAGGGCTCCTTATGTGGCCTTGACAATGCACACCAAAACATACTCAGAAAGTATTATTGCTTCACGACTGATAGTTTTGCAATAACACAGAGCTTTTAAAACGTTCGCCATGTTGCCCTGCTTACCCCTACATATACATATATATATTTTGTGTTTTTTTTTAAAAAACAAAAACCAAAACATAAATAAAAAGATCGGAATGGTTTAAAAACATTCTAAATGTTTTCAAAAACATACTGAATGTTTTTATTTTATTTTTTGAAAAAAAACAAAAACATTCTGAATAATTTTATATTCATTTTTTTTTACTGCAAAACATGTGCAGAGTGTTGTTTCATTAACTATCTTATAGCCTGCTGTAAAAAGGAAGTAATGCTACATCAACTTTCATACAGCCTGCTGCTACAAGGAAGTGCCACTACATCAACTGAGGGTTTTGTTGGGGCAGGCAGACAATTAAACAATAGTAAAAAAATTCTATTTTTTAATTTTTTAAACTTATTTGGTCTTTAAAACAACTTTTTTTTAAATAAACAACCTAAAACTGACCTGAAAATAGAAAAATTAAAAACAACCAAGCAAGAGCTTGTTGTTTTTAAATTTTTAGAATAGAGCTATATATATATATATATATATATATATATATATATATATATATATATATATATATATATATATATATATATATATATATATATATATATATATATATATATATATATACATATATATATATATATATATATATATATATATATATATATATATATATATATATATATATATATATATATATATATATATATATATATATATATATATATATATATATATATATATATATAGGCTTCGGCGAGAAGCAAGAGCTTTAGCTTTTGCTCTCACCCATATTCCCCTGATGATAAAAATTACATAACATACTAAAATGCTTTTTAAAAGGCACGGTTGTTGCAAAAAATAATTAGAAGTAAAAAAGAGCGTTGATTTAAATGAGGAGCAGCATGCACAGCTTCATTCAAATAACCTCATTAACAACAGAATGCTGCTACATCGACTTACAAAAAGCCTGACTCGCAATAGAGTGCTGCTACATCGACCGACTGACAAATAGTTTGACTCGCAAGAGAGTGCTGCAAAATTGACTGAGGGTTTGGTTTGGGCAGGCAGTCTATCAAATCTTTAAAAGAAAATTTTTTTTTTTCTGGCGTTTAATATAAATAAAAAATTAAAGCTGACATTTTATTGTAAAAACTTAAAGGCGACCAAGCAAGAGTATATATATATATATATATATATATATATATATATATATATATATATATATATATATATATATATATATATATATATGTATATATAGACCAATCGCATTTGTTATAACCACTTACAATGGTTACAACAAACACAATTGGCTAAAATAGAATCAGCTGATGTGTAATTGGCTATTTATGAAAAGTCTAATTTAATGCACTTAGTTTTTTTTTTTAATTCACCTCCTCAAGGCCAAGAAAGCCACTACAGACAAGGAGGCTAGTTATTTGTGGTAACAGCCCTCTCTCAACTCCATAACTCCGAAACACGAACCTTGACAAACAAGGCCGCTGCGCGGAGAAACAAGTTTTAACAAGAACTAATCAAGTAACAGGTATAAATAACTTAAAATTAATATTTTACTTTATTAGTCATTTTTTAATTTGATTACATTTTTTTTGTATCTAAAAAACTTTATCTATATTGAAATTTAATTATAACTTACAACTATTTTTTTAGATAACTTGTTTGTAAGTTAATTATTGTTTAATACACTTAGTTACAATTGTAAGTTATTCTCCCGCATTGCTTCTTTAACTAAACCATGTTCTTTAACACTATTTTAAACCTAGTACATTTTGATAAGGACTTTATTTATATTTGACTATGTTTTTATTTATATGCATGTATGTTTTGATACATGTATAGTTTATTTTTTAGTTTATCAGGTTTATAGATTTTTAAGTTTTATGTTACATTATTGTTATTTTGGAAATAAATGTGCGTATATTTCAGAAATTTTATACTTCTCTGTATTTATATGCATATTTTCTCTCAGACAAAATAATCTAATACTACTACTGATATAAATGATTTACTTGTGATCTAATTAACTAAGTAGATATTTAATACTACTGATAACATGCTTTATGAAAATAGTGAAATTAAGTTGAATGATATTGAATTTGAAGAAGTTATTAGTGTAAATGCTAATAGACAACTTGAATTGTTGAAATGAAAGAGATAGAGCAAGATGAAGTTGTATTATTCGTTTTCAAAATAGAATAAAAGTCATCGAATTGAAAGAAATGGAGCTAGACAAAAGATGATGGAATATTTATGAAATTAATCTAAAAAGTGTATGAAATGCAACTAGACAAGAAAGAATGCATTATTTTACAAGAAATAAAAATATTCTAAATTATAATTTTAAAGGAGATTTGAACCAGATCTGTCATTTGTGTATAGAACTTATGTGATTTAATGTTTCATTTGCGAACTATAGTTAGTGAAGTAAAATTATTTGCTATTACATTTAAAAACATAGCTGAAGTAGAAGATAAAGAAATTCATCAAGCAGCTATAAAAGAGTGCTAAGTCTCAGTTGTAAAAATGTTTTTACTTGAAGTGCAGGATAGACGTCATTATAATCTGCCTTAACATATTGAAGTTGCAGTTGTATATGTTGGTGACAATGGTGCCTCATCTGTTTCCAGGGAAGCTTTTTATTTTAAAAATTATATCGAGTATGTCAGCCAACTTAGATCCTAAAGTTTATCAACTTTTTTTTCCAAGAAGTGATGCTGGTTGACATAATCAATTGTTGCTCAACCCTGAACATGCAACACTGGTTAGTTATCATATTATATTTTTTTTTATGTTAGCTCCCTATTTTTTTATTACTATACCTACTGTTATAACTGATTTTAAATAGTTATTAGTGTTACAATCAATAACCAATTAAGTAGAGCTAGGTTGTGAAACTAGCCAAGCAACTGTTATTACTTGCAGTGTGTATAGAGCTAGGCTGTTAAACTAGCCATACAAGTGACTTGCAGTGTGTGCAGAGTTAGACTGTTATACTAGCCGGTTTTTTTTTATAACTTAAATAAAAATAAAAGAAGTAAAATAGTGTAGAGCAATATTGTTACTCTTGCCAGCCAAGTGGTGTACTGAGCAGAGATGTGACAAATAATGGGTAGCTGGACAGAGGTTTTACTGTTGTATGTCAAAGTTCTGTTGTCTAGCTTTTTATAATTATATAGAAAATACATGTATGTTAATATTTAGTGTAATGTAATGTGATTATACAAATATGTTATGCTATTTGCTTATACTCTTCGTAATTGTTGTGATGTATTTTGTTGTAATGTTTTGTGTTGATAGACAGCTTGGCATACCTTATAGTTAGTGTCCCTTTTTATCGTTAAAAATGATTGTAGGTAGTTTCATTGATCCATTGCCAAAATGTTTTCATAATAAAGTAATTTTTTAAGATCTATTTTATTTGAGATGTTTTCAATTTTTTTTTTAATAATAATAATTTTTTTAATACTATGGAGTTACATAACTTTTTAAAAACATGTTAAATCATTATCCCTATCAGAAATAAATTTTTTTAATATGATTTTCTTTATAAAAGGCTATGCTAGGCCTCACTCCTATAGATGGTGATTGTTTTAAATGATTTTGAAAAATGCATTCATTACAAAAGATGTATTGTCTTCAGCGTTAATTGTTTTCTAAAAAAATTGACAAATGCTGTGTTTTATTTGTTTGTTTTTTTGGTTTTCTAAATATTTAGCAATATATCATTTATATAATTTAAATAAACTTGTTTTAAAGATTTGTTTATGGATAGATCCATGTTATGGATAGATCCAACAAATCCATGAAAAAAGAGAGATCTCTCTTTTTTCATGGATTTGTTAAAAGTTTTTTCATCAACACAAGTTTATTTTTCGAAATCTGTTCTTTAACTTTTTTTTGTTTTTTAAAAATAAAGAAAGATTTCGAATAAAACAAATAATTTTAACGCAAAATAAAGTTTATTTTTATTTTGCGCAAGACAAAATATGACTTTTTGCTAAATATTTTCCACATTAGTAAAATATGACTCGGATGAATGCTAAAATAACTAAATGGTTGGCATACGTTAACAGGTAGGTAAATACGTTTAAGGTAGGTCAATATATTCGCTTACCATACCATTTTTTTTAATTTTCAGCCAGATGATTAAATAAAATAAAGATAAGTAGTAGTACAGAACAAAGTTTCAAAGCTTATTGTTAAAAAAACAAATACACACACATGGAAACAAAGGCTTTGAGGTTATAGGAGCCTAAAGATTTAAGTCAACTTTTATATATAGACTATGTCATGCTATATGCATAAAATGCTCGAGCAACACAAAAAGAAACGTTAAATTAGATCTCTAATAAAGCTGAGATCATTGCTTTCTGCCATTTACTGTAACCTATTGAAAATGAGTAGAAAATAAGTGGGAGGTGTGATTGAGACCTATCATGACCCATTTTACAGGTTCAATCTAAAAAACTTTACTCCAAGAAGATGTTAACTGCTAATATCTTAAGATTCTCAAAATTTACTATATAATAAAATATACATCAAAACAACGTTTCGCTTTTTATTAAATTGATACATGATTTTTGCATGACATTAGTTATTTTGGTTCTTAGTAGAAATGTATTAGTTGGAGACCTCTCTCGGCTACTAGCTGACATTGCTCTTCAGCAGTGGATAAAAACAAATGCTCTTTTTAAACCACTAGTGATTGTTAAAAATAAAACTTTAATGGAAAAAATTGAACTTTCTTAAAACACGATCAGAAATATAACACATGGAAAAGCTTCTACAACAAACATTTCTTCATGAGATATTTCAAGTTAGATGTGTGAAATTGTATTATGTAACAAGCATTGTTTAAAAAATTATTTTTGCTTTGATCAAGTACATATTAAGTGTACTTGTATCAAAGAGAAAAAAATTTCCAAGGTTGAACTTTTATGGCATATTGCTTGAAGGGGAAAAAAAGATCTATTTCAAAGTACCAGATGGGTTTAAATGATATTAAGTCATTTAAACCCATCTAATTTCACTAGAGGAAAATAAAATGAAGAGGAAGTCTGAAGAAGAAAAGAAGTTAGAAAAAGATTTAGAAAAAAATTGAAAATAAGATGCTGTTAAATATTTCTTTGAGATTTCAATGAGGAAATAATTTTAGAAAATCCACTTCAAAACAGTAATCAGGAAAAAAAAAAGATATATGAATTATATTCATAGCTGTTTTTTACCAGAAATAGTAAATTTAGATGTCAAACTATAGGAAAATATATACATACGAGGTATTGGTGTAGTGGTAGAGCGCTCGCATCATAAGCGAGAGGTCTGAGTTTGGTTCCCACCACGTCCCTGGTAGTATCACGCTCGATTTACTTCTCTGCTCAGCGGCCTAATTCATCAAAGTTCATGTTTCAAAGTTATAGAGTTGAGAGAGGGTTATAGCAACAATAATTTAGCCTCCTTGTCTGTAGTGGCCTTCTTGGCCCTGTGGAGGCAAATTAACATAAACAAATAAATAAATATATGTACATATATATATGTACACACATATATGTACATATGTATATGTACATATATATATATATATATACATATATTAGTACATATATATATATATATATATATATATATATATATATATATATATATATATATATATATATATATATATATATATATATATATATATATATATTAATATATATTTGTATATATATATATATATATATATATATGTATATATATATATATATATATATATATATATATATATATATATATATATATATATATATATATATATATATATATATATATATATTTATATTTATATATATACACACGTGTATATTTTATTTGGTAGAAACTTACACCAGCCAACAAGAAAGTAAAGCCACATGTAGGATTTTGTAATGAAAGCAAAAAACTGTCGAAGCTGAAAAAAAGCTTCATTAAACATCCATGTAATTTCCACAAAGGTGGAATATAATGCAAACAAATATGCATAACTGCAGCCCTTCTAAATAAAATAAAAAATTAACTAATAAACATTTTTATATTGTAGTAAAAAATAATGAAACCAAGTAAACACTACAAACTCAACACTCACTTAAATCTTATTCAAATATTTTTGTGCAATATGAATGCAAAAGAATAATACATTTTTTGTTTTTATGAAGTTTTGTTGTAAAGATTAAAAACTGTTGATAATAAATAAAAAATTATAAAGAATTAAAACTATTTTAACAAATTTTAGCGCAATACTTTTTAAAACTATAAAGTAAAATAAAAATAATTTTAAACATTTATGCAATATGAAAAAACTTTTCTTAAATCATATTTTACTATTAAAAAATGACACAATTAAATGCAATAAATAATCATAACTGATGTGTAGATGCTTGACAAAAATGTAAATATCTAAAAGCTTTTTGCTGAGCTTATTATATTTTTATGAAAAATTGTTTTAAAAGTTTGTTTTTAAATAAAAAACCTTGACAAACTTAAATAGAGTTAGAATAACATAAACGTTGCAATAAATACAAAAAAAGTTGTTCATTCAAGTTCATAAATATCGTTAGTTTTTATTTTTTATTTTTGTAATAATATTAAAACCATTTTTGCTGTGTGTTTAGTGTGAGTTGGAACTGTACCCAATTTAACTTTTTCATAACTTTCAATATACTATGAATAAAATTTCCTTTACGAAATTACTTAATCAACAAGAAACAACTTTAAAAGTTTACAAAAAATAAAAAAAGTTATAAACTATAACTTTATTTTATAAATATCAAAAAAAAAAAATTACAAAAAAAAAATAAAAATAAAGAAAAAGTGCTAATTATTTAAAATAACACAAATTAATGAGCTTTAAATTAAAGGAGCTATATTTAATTAAAGGAGCTAATCAGTACCATCTTCTAATTATCTTCTTTCAAATGCTGGCTTTTGATTGAAAGGTCATGCATTAAATGAAAGCTGAAGGACAAGAGCTAATGCTTTTGACAATATCAAAAATTTTCAATAAGCTAATACTTATGACATATTAAAAACATTTAATAAAGTCTGGCATACTAGTCAGGCTACTCATCTCATTTTGTGAAAAAAAATTCTGATAGAAAATTTATAAATTACGAACTTATATGAATTATGAACTTATATAATAACTAAGAATTTTTCTTAAACAAACTCAGTCCTAACAAGATTGCAAACAACCTCCATTTATCTTGAATGTTGAATGAAACCAAAGGAGAGAGTTAAAGAGGTTCACTGAAGAATTAAAAATCTGTAAATTGTATGAGTTAGGTTAAAATGAAGATTTATAAATGAAGAACTTATAAATGAAGAATTATAAATCATTATTATTTAAGAAAAAACCAAAAATGATTAAAACCTTTTTAAGCATGAAGGAACAATTACAGTAAATGGATGCAACTTGATGCAAATGATAATAGCTTGCTTGAACAGCAACCATGGTAGTATTTGTAGAAAAGAGAAGGAGATGCAACTTTATGACAACAGGATAAAAGCCCGAGCTAGACAGCTGGTGCAGAACCTACAACACTTACAATATGTTTTTGGAGCTTGTCTAAAAAAGAGAGGGTCTAATTAGAAGTGCTAGTTCAAATATGATAATAGCAATCCATAAAAGGACAAATGAACAATTTTTAATGGTAAAAAATGGATTTGGGCTTAAGGGGTCGTCCATAAAGTATGTACGCTCTAGGGGTGAGAGGGGAGGTCTTCAAAAAGCGTAGAAAAGCATATGGGGGGGGGGGGAGGGCTCATTTTTAAAGTACGTACTTCGAATTTCTAGTTTTGCACAATTAACCAGCTAGTCAATTGAAAAGTTAAAATTCTGACTAAAGATCCTAGTTGCCAACATAAAAAGATGTACTGTAAAGGGAGTAGAAGGTATAGTTTCTCTCTATGCACACACATGCATGGGCGCCCCCAGGATTTTTTGATGTTCCACTTCCACACATTGTGCAAACTACAAACTTAAGTATGTTTATACCTATGCCATTTGAAGAGGCCTTGCAAAAAATTGTTATGGCGGTAGTCTGGGAACAAAAAAGCTGTCAAATGCTTGCATCCCCTTCCCTGCCCAAATGTGAGGGCACTAATGCAGTAAAATTTTCCGACCCCCTCCCCAAAAAAATAAATAAATGAGGGGTTGTACATTTTGCATCGACATTTACATTGACATTTTGTAATTTACAATATTTTTAAACAAAATTTAAATTCTGTTGATAAATTTGAATTTAATTTTAGATCGTTAAATTAAAAATTTTACTACAGTAAGTGCCCTCATGTTTGAGCAGGAAGCAAGCGTTTCAGGGCTATTTGTTGACAGCTCTCCGTGATACCAATTTTTTACAAGGTCTCTTCATTTGGTATAGGTATAAACATACTTAAGTTTGGAGTTTGTACAATGTGTGAAAGTGTCCTATCTGAAACATCAAAAAATCCTGCAGGCGCCCATGCCACCCTTTATATACTGGCCCTGAGAATACTTAGGGCCAGTATATAAGGAGTGGCATGTGTGCATCCATGTGCAAAAAATAGGTTGCCTATTTTTTAAGTCAACAAAAAACAGGTTTTAGCAGTGCAATGGCTAATAGGTTGGAGACCTCCTCCTTCCCTCCCCTCAAAATAAAAAAACATGTCACTAGAGTCTCAAAATCTTCCAAATTTTACCACTAGGTTTTGCTAAAATAAAATAGCAAAAGAGCATAAAATTTGCTGCTCCCCCACAACACCCACCCCCTCTAATTATGGGGTATGGGTAGCCTACACTTGGTACTGGGTTTTAAGCTATGTTTTCAATATTACTATTCTCGCGTGACTCGTTTTTTATGGGCTTTCTAAAGAGGGGTGCCTAAAAAAAATGTCTGCCTTAAGTCTAGTTTATTTTTATTTGATGCGTCTCATTAAACAGGAAAAGTAAAACAGGACTTTATTGGGAATCGAACTCGGATCTCTGCTGTCACTGCCCATAACATTATCCACTCAGCAAAGCGGTCTCTTCAATATTGCAAGATTTAATCATATTTGAAATTATATTTGTATATATTTAATGATGTTTTTTAAATTGGAATCCTTTGCCTCTAACAAAGGGCTTTGGGGTCGTAAAAATACTTAATACAATTTTCACCTCCCGCCTATTTTTTTTTTTTTAATACAAAAATTTATTGTAATAAAAAAGGTGGAGGAGGTACCCTAGATACTTTTAAAGGGTACTATCTAGGGTATCTCCTCCCCCTTTTTTTTTTCAATTAAGGGAGGGGGGTATATGAAAATGTATGTACTTTTTAAGGGGGGTGGGGACTTAAAAGTATGCATGGCAAAAGGGGGGAAGGGGGTGTCAAATTTCAAAATTTTTGGCGTATGTACTTTATGGACCCCTAAGAAAATGGTAAGCACAGCAAAGAGAGATAACCTTAGCAGAACTTGAATTAGCAGAAAATTGTATGTATATATTTTTTATAAGAAATGATGATGTGAAAAGAAATAAAGCAAAGGACTAGGTAAGATTGTTGTTATTCATCAGTTTTGCAGCAATATTGCAATAAGTATTAGCAATAAATAACAGAGTTTTGCCGGAATTCAATACTAGTAGTGAATTGTATATATATTTTTTATAAGACATAAAGTAGAGGACTAGGTAAAACTAATATTATTTATTTATATAGGATTTGCAGCAGTATTGCAATAAGTATTAGCAATAAATAATATATTTTTGTTGGAGTTTAACTTCACAAGCCACTGTGAATCCCAAGCTGTTACAGAAAAGATTCAAGATTTTTTGTCAAAACAAGAGTATACAATTATGTCATCAATAAACAAAAACACTACTCAATATAGATGAAAAATAATATAGAACCAAGGATAGAACCTTGAGTTAGTTAATTTTCAAAATTAACTAACTTGTTAATTTTGCTTTAATTAAGTGGTAGTGGTGTAGTGGTAAAGTGGTGGCTTGGTATATTAAAGGTTTTGAGTTTAATCCCCAACATAACCACTATAGTAGTACTGCATTTAACTTGTTCAGAAGTTTTGTCACACAGAGGCCTTATTAGTATAGGTTTGTATTGCAGATTTAAAGAGTTAAGAGAGGGTTGTAACCACAAAAAATTAAAGCTTTTTATAAGAATTAGGAGATATTTTTAACTATCCTAAGATCTTAAAAAAATACCTAGGCTGTTGAAATAAAAGACCTCATGAAAAGATCTACCAAAAAAAAAAAAAAAAAAAAAAAAAGTTGTATCAGCAGTGACTTTTCCACTTTACATAATGCAATGCAAATTGCATTATATAAAGTTATAAAAAACACTCTCCCCTTCTCATATTTTTCTGACCCATACAATCTTTAACTTAATAGTGGTTGCTTGCAGCCTTGTTGGGAGTGAATATATATATATATATATATATATATATATATATATATATATATATATATATATATACATATATATATATATATATATATATATATATATATATATATATATATATATATATATATATATATATATATATATATATATATATATCAATATTTTTATATACAGTATTAAATTAAAAAAGGAATTAAAAGTTTCATACTTATCAGCAATCATCAGCAATGTTCTTTAAGTCATTAAAAAAAACAACTTAACATTTTAAAATTTAAAAAAATTAACATTAAAAAAAAAGTTTAAAAATACAATATACAAAAAAACAACAAAAAAAAGCAATAGAATGCTATATATATATATATATATATATATATATATATATATATATATATATATATATATATATATATATATATATATATATATATATATATATATATATATATATATATATATATATATATATATATGTTAAAAATAACAGCCAGTCAACAGCCCACTCAAATGACTAAAATTGCTATTTGGACCTCCCAAAATGAAAATTTGCTGGTCATGGTTGACCAGTTGAAAAAAAATCAGAGTTTTGAAAAATAAGGTTTGACAAATAGAATATAATTCG